ACTTTATCATGCGATAGCATAAAATGTTCGGTGACACCCGAACTTAGCCCTTCCTTACTTGTTTTTTTTTTGTTTTTTTTTTTTTTTGTGATCTCTATTCGCCGTCGTTTTGGCAACCAAGTCTAGTTTTTTGTTATGAGTCTAGCAATGACACTCTACATACCCCAAATATTAAACTACCTTGCGTCGATTTATAAGAATTGTTGAGCTACTCTGCTCAATTTTTATTCTAACATGACTATTCTCAAGCACCAGCCGTGTCAAATTTGATCTAAACAGTAACTGCCAAAGCCATAGTTATTAAGGTCGATCCTGGAAAGTAATATTTAAACATATTTTCCAGCTATCCATATCAAATCGGACAGTTACTCATTGCAAGAGAATTTACATATAGAACCTTCGGGCTTAGATCAGTGGGTAATGGCGATTGGCTACATGGCAGCAGTGGAAAGTGTTGCCAGAAGCAAGTAACTTAACTTCTACTTAATGCCATGCCACAAGGCTTTTGAGGGCAGGGAAATAGCGGACGAGCTTGCCCAGAATGGAATAAGGCTAACATCCGATAGAAGATACTGATAGGAACGTGATGGGAATAACTACACTGTGCTAACAGATTGAGAATCCTGCGGGAAATGTCTAGAGCAGAGTACCAGGGAAACAATGGAGCATCTCTTGTGCACTTGTCCTGCATTGGGAAGACAACGCAGKAAGCATCTTAGGCATCTAAAAAATATATATTTACTTTTCTTGAACCCGGCAACTGTGAAGTTCAGCAACTGARCTTCATCTGGTATCGATAAACCAACAAACCCACAGCGTTGAATATCGAAGGCGATTGATATTTCTCTCGCAAAAAATTCTATCCTCTAATCAAAACATTCTTCGGTAGCTATTAGGACATAGCATAGCAGATCCATTTGAGAGATGTTGGTTTCTTGGAAGCTTTGAAAAAAAGATCGTATCGAATTTATATAGACATTTGAGAGATCATAATTACTTCTACTTTTTTTCTTCCTCTGCAAAAATTTTTGGTGACCTCACCTACTAACACCAGATTACATTGACTACTTGAAAACAGATAGTCGACCAAACAATTTCGTAATACGGCGCCAACTGTTGATATAGATTAAGTAGAAGCCTCCATTACTTTAAATASCCCAGTAAAGACACAAGTAAGATCACCGCTATCGAACATGGGGTCATCCGTTTGCAACCGGCTTATACAGTGAAATATCTAATTGTCATTCTGGATAGAAAGATGAAGCCTAATATCGAAGAGAAAGCAAAAAAGACATCGATTGCTTTACACTGCTTTAGAGAAACCATTGGTAAGAGGTTGGGTTTCTCACCGAAAGTGGTGCTCTGACTCTATGACCATAGTCAAGCCCATTATATTTTATGGGGTCTTTATGTGGTGGAGGACTCAATAAAAGACCACACCTGTAAGGAAACTCGGGAACGTTCAACAGGGGCCGTTTCACAGCACAGTGGTTCTGTTTAACATACTATATACGTAATCCACTACGAAAGATCTGTAAAAGCTTTATGAAAGCTCTGTGAAAATTCTCTGAAAACTCTGCAAAAGCTTACTTCTCAAACTGTTTTTCCCTCTGTCCTGCCAATTTGTTTCCTGTRCTTATGCAATTTTTAATAAATTTCAAATTTAAGTAATTTATACTTTAAGTTTTATATCAAAGCGCGTTCTGCACATTTTAAGACACCCGTAGGAAACAGCGGGAAGCAAACATGAAAAAAAGTAAAACAAAAAGCTGAACCAGCTGCCAGCAAAGTGGTCAGTCAAACGACGCACTAGCAGCTGCAAGCCACGCCGTATGTGTGTAGACGCCGTACCRCGTAGACAAGCAGTTGACAGACGAGCGCTGAGACACCAGCCATCTTCTGCACACACACAAATTGCCCGCCGGTTTTATAATGATTGCGGAGGCCAACAAAATAGAAAAAAGTTCCTGCAGCTGCATGATAATTCATTATAAATGCTAAATGGACAGAGTTTATGAGYGCAAGAAGGATAACAGATGAAGTAGAACAAGTGTCACCCGTTGTTGTGTGGCAAGAAAAGTGGGGTTAGGAGAAGCTGTTTGGACTGTCATAAGGAAAATGTTTAAAAGTTACAAGGAWGTAATATATATGTATGTAACTTGAKCTMAAACTGCGTACTCGAAKGCATAAAATGAAAACAAAWAATTWAAATTAATATAATCAAGTTGCTCTTGCTTATACTTGGAAGCGAGCGGAGTTGRTGCTCCTGCTAGGTTGGTGTAGAATGACATTATGTTTGTTGTTGTTTTTGTTGTTATAATTTTTTGTTGTTATTTTTTTTGTATGCTAATGAGAATTCACCATCGCCACTGCTCTGTTTTTTTCAACAGCCTGTCACTGAGYTGCCTTCTGCTTGCCTCAAATAGTGCAATGAAGCTGATAGTGTTAGCGATAGCATCAACGCTGCCGGTCAGCCATCAAGTTGATGAAGGTTGTTTGGTATAGTGTCATGAATTATATGTATAACTGTATCCGATTTCTACGCGAAAACAACCTTCCTTCCTTTATATTGACGCTAACTTAATTAAAGTGAGGCATACTTTAAGGAGCCGGCTCCATTGTGCTCATACTTTGCCTTTTTTCTGCTTGGTATTTCATTAAATATCATTTGCYGATAAGCAGACTGTCTRTTTTATTTATAACTTTTTTAATTCCGCTCGCTGTCGATATATGTGTGCATGTGTATGTGTGTATACTTTGGTGTGATGGGCGCTTGAGGCAACTGAAAACTTTRTCCCTATTTTGGCACCACGCGCACGTTTGGTAAGTTACAATAATAACAAGTGTTGCTTTTAGGAAAATATAAACATACCTACACATAACGGTAAGTTATTTACGCAAACCACAACAACAACACTAAATATTAAGCTAGTGGTATTATTTGTTACTGAAAGTTTCCGAATTTTTAATTTTAGTTAAAAGCAGACTGTTGCTAGCTCTAAAATATTTAAACATAATATACAAAAAAAAAAAGAACTTTAAAAAAATTA